CCGTATTCGAGGTAGTTGAGGATGCAGTGGGTCGGTATGGAGTGGCGCCGCGACGATCTCGTGGTGCAAGATTGATCTCTCCAAGGCATTTCATGCCGTCCCGATTGTGCATCAGCAACAACCGTACTATAGCTTCCTCGACGCTCGAGGTAAATGTTACTGCTATAGGAAGATGCCTATGGGTGCAAAGACGGCGCCCAAGCACTTCGCCAACGTAATGGGCTTAGTGTTGGGTCGACTACGTACGGAGGATCGAGTAAATACGAGATCATACCAGGACGATATCATTATCGCCGCGAACACACGAGAGGAATTGGAGGAGCGATATAGAAGGGTAACGAACCACCTACGTTCGCTAGGGTTTAAGATTAACCCGGAAAAGTCCTCGTTGGCAGAGGAAATTGATATCCTCGGTTACCGATTCACGCGAGATAAGATAACGATCCCTGAACCGAAAGAGCGCGCAATTCGAAACGCGCTACGCAGTAAGAATGTCAAACAAGTGATCCGAGCAACGCATCAGCTCGGCTACTATAAGACAATTTTGTCTCCAGCGCTGAGAGATTCTGCAATAAAACTCAGGCAAGTACTCTCGAAGGTTGGGCACTTTACGCAAGTCGCCAGGGACCTACGAAAGGCCCTGGACGTGGCATGGATGTGCCCTAGAGAAGAACCCTGGGGTGCAAAGCGAATCGAGATATACGTAGACGCTTCAGACACGGCCGCCGGACTACATGTGCGATACAATGGCAATTGTGTACTAGAAGAAACGCTACCACTGACTCATACGATGACTAACTTGGCTTCGTTTAAAGAGATACAGGGTGCTTATAAGCTCCTGGTAAAATACAGAGGCCACATACGTCACATAGACGACACGTGTGAGAAAGTGATCCTAACGGACAACCTGAGACTATATCAGGGACTCGTGCGCAACGACGAGCCCAGAAACGACTTGGAGATATACGCGGCCAGGATAAGGCACCTTTACAAGGCTAAATATGCTTACATTCCAGGGAGCCTCAACCCGGCCGATGCAGCTTCGAGGAGACGGCGTCTCCTTTCTTAAAAACTTTTTATTTAACACAACATATAATTTTCTTAAATCGTGTTAAGAAATCCTGGTTGCACTTTGAACTTGTACCAATAATTGCTTGCATTGAACCTAATTCACTGAACTATACTTCGACACACAAATGGTCCAGACTCGCGCGAATACCGATCCAGAACAAGTCTACACTGAGTTCTTTCGGAAGTGTAAAGAAGAAAAGACGTTAGACATGGCTTTGTTCCAATTAATACCGATCAAGCTACTGGAAACGCGCGCGCTTGAAAAGAAGATTGCTTTGGAAGATCTAGTTGAGGTCCGCGATAAGTATACAGACGGGTGCCACCCAGACTGGGTAAAAAGATTTAGGGCACTAGTGACTGACCTAACTAAGAAGGCAATACCTCAGCTAGACTTAAACCCATTATTGACAACCCGGGAATTTCGGGAGGCGCAGAAAGATAAGCAGCCGACATTTGCGAGGTCTGCGTCCTCCTTGAACCCACCTAAGACGTATATACCACCTCCGATGCCGACACGATCGCAGTCACGTGGGCTAGAAGAAGTTAGGCGAGATGACTCTTCAGTATATAGTAGCCTAGACTCGGAACCGCGTAGGCGTCGTCAGGAGCATACATACGGGTTTGAAGTAGTGGAAGATATTGAAAGTCTGATGTTCGACCCAATGTCGTTGATTATACAGTTGAAACAGAAGAAAGCTAGCATCCCTAAGTTGTTTGAGATGAAGTTGCGCGTGATAACGCAGGCGATATACCATCCATCCATCGAGAATTCTGAGTTATTGATCGATGCGCTAGACGCCATACGGAATGAAGGGGTAATATCCCAACGACAGAGAGACAGGTTGCTGATATCGATAATCGCATACGGTAAAGATGCGACCATGAAGCGATTAGAAGCAGGCACGTTAGATCGACCATTGAACATCTATGCTAAGAGTTCAAGGAAGAAGCCTGGCGACAACAAGAGCTCGAAGAAGTCGTACGACCAGAAACCCAATAACTCGAATCAATCGAACAACTATAAGGGCAAGAAGCAATATAACAATAAGAATAGACGAAATAGCTACAAGACGACCGAAGCTACGAGCAGCTGGACAGAGACATCCAAATAGGATGTAGGCAAGAGTGGTAATACGCAGGTCCACTTGGAGCCAGTCCAGAAACAGGTACTCGAAGCGTCTGCGAGCGATGATGAAACGTCATCCACTTCGTCGACGGTGCATAGTTTTACAGGGGGCTCGGGAGAGAAAATCTCCTTGGTGCTACCAGCATTTAACGAGAAGCTAGAGGGTAAACCCCCCTTGCGGTGGGTTAAACCCCGCTTGGATCCAGTAGATGCTAAGATCTACGAAGACTGGATCGAGGCTCAACTTAGAGATAAGTCCATCGTGCCAATAGACAAGGGCAATGTGAAGGCCCTGATCAACCCATACGTCGTGGGGAAGAGAAGAAATCTACGAATTCAACTGAGATCTCACATTTACGAGGCGCTCAAACAATCGGGCACCTATGACGAATTCACGGATCGACTGGCTTGGTGCATGTCAAACCAACACCTGATACTCACTACGAAAGAAGTCGCCAACCTATATGCCCTAGTGGCAAGATCAGGTATTGTACGAGGTATGGCTTTATTCCAGAATGGCGCGACAGCTAGGATAGGACCCGCTCCCACACGCGGACGCGGACGCGGCAGAGGCCGTGGACGTGGCCGTGGCAATTAGGGAACAGGACGGCGCACTCACCGAAGTGCGCTGAGCCACAATCTACCACTACCGACCTAAGTTAGACACAGGAAAAAGTACGTGTTGCTCTCTCACAG